TAGAAGCGGTTTTAACAAAGGCGCGTAACGGGCTAAGTGATACAGACACTCGCACGCGGACGTAAGGTGCATTTTGATTTAATACGCGCACCACAAACATATTTTTCTCGACGAAATAAACTGTAGGCTAATTTGACGAAGGTTGCTTCCGAGGCGTGCAAAGTATTAGGAACATTAGCGACGTTGTAACTAAGTTTAAACTCTCAAGTTTGCTATCAGAGAGTGAGCCCTCTGTTCTTTTAACTATTATTTATTCTGTGGTTCAACCTAATCTGTGAACCAAAAATTAGAATATGTCATGTCAAGGAATCCAGACGATAAATGTTTTGACACTAAATAGTGAGAGACCGTCACGTGAAGAAGATATTGTTGTCGCCACAATTAATGCATGGTACATGGCGACGATAGTTACCACTAGTGCCTTCTAGTAACGAGTAGCAGAACTAGGAGAGTCAAGATCCTTCTAAAAATTTCCATGGATAAACTTTCTAGAACTATCGACACATTTTTTACGTGGTAGAGCCATGCTGCAGCTATATTAATAGTATAGTTGTAGCACGAATGGGTCCGCTCGACCAGGGAAGGACCACGCCCTCACATAATACCAGCGTAAAATAACAGCTCAATGCTGCTGTGTTTCGTATGGTGAGTGTAGAGAACCGGAGACCCATTTTACTGGAAAAGAGGCATTCTATCTTAGTCCTGGCTGATGGCTGACAACGAATCTGCATTTTAATTCGCAAACGAAGATAGATGTACATGTCTATGGGCCACATTAACCACTTACATTCAGGTGAACTGTGTGCTCGTTTGTCACCCTAATTCTATAAAAATAACTTAGTCAGTCGGGACCGGTATGTACTCGAACATTCTAGATGTTTCTACCGTAGAAGGTTCTGGAAATTAACTGAGGCCCTATATAAGGTCTATATGAGGTATAGACCGCGACCCAGTCAGCATTGAATTGGCTATACAAGACATGGTGAGAAATAATGTGATAAGAGAAAAGTGTGGTTTGCAAGAAGACGTTGTGACCAGGGTTAAGAAAGGATTGCTTCGGTGGTTTGATCATGTGGAAAGAATGAACGAGAAAAGAGTGACAAAGCAAATTTATGTTGCAGAAGTGAACGGCAGAGTCAAGAAGGGACGCCCTAGACGAAGGTTTATCGACCAAATTGGCGATATATTGAAAATGGGCCAGATTAGGAGTACCCTTAACCGACGAGCGTGTATGCGTAGATATATGGATGTAAAGGAGGCGAGAGAGGTGTGTTAGGATCGTGCCTAATGGAAGTCCGTACTCTCTGCCTACCCCTCTGGGTGACAGGCGTGAGTGTTTGTGTTGTTGTGTGTTTACTCGGCAGTTTTTAATTGTCTTGAACCCCAAGCTCATAGCAATATCGATGACGACATTTTACCCTCTCCGACTCACTTTAGTGGACGTTGGGAGACTATATTCTCTGTACAAGTAAATTTTAAATATCAGGAAAAATAAGACAAAATATGAAATATGAAGATGATTAAATAATAAAGATAAAAACAACACAATTATTCAAAAATATTCATTTACAAGTATTGAAAATCAACAACATCTGTTCATAGAAACAAAATCTAAAGTGGACTTGCGCCACAGTTAACTAAACTCTAGTTAACTTAGTTTTGTCAGTCATAATCCATTGAATTAGAATAAGACATAATAACTGTATCACTTTCAGTATCCGTTTCTGGCCCAGTGGATTCGCTATCGCTGCTTTGACCTAATTAATTATCTTTCGTAAATTTCTCCCAATCTATCTTGTTCCCAATACTTTTGACGCAAGCGATCCACGTGGTGTATTTCCTTTTTCCAATCACTTGGTGTTATACTTTTGATATCATTTTGGGTTAAGTTTAATATTTCTCTTTCGGATTGGGATACATTTTTTTCTGCGACGCGCTGTTTTAATAAATTCCATATATTCTCTATGGAGTTTAAATCGCAGTGATACTTTAGTAACCGGAGCACTTCATGATCTTGTCTTTTTAACAATTCGTCAACGTAATGTGTCTTAGGTGGTATTGTTATTTTGATTAGATGGTATAATTGTTTTTGGTCATGTTTTCATCATAGGTGATATTATGATCACGTAACCAATTCTGCATATGTTCCTTAAATGATGAGGAAGTCGGCCGTTTTTGTATGTGCTTGCTATGATAAGGAGTATTATCGTGAGCGCACGGCAACTTTGCTAACGGTACTAACTAGGCGAACGCGTGACGTGGTCGGCGGAAGCGTGAGGGGTAGTCTCCAGCAAAATTTCTGCGCGCGGCTTATAGTCATATAAGGAACAACTAAAAAGTTATATTTTATCCTTGTATGTCATATGTTTACGTGAAATATAATTTATTAACTTTTAATACTAGCCAAGTTATGTATGTTCAAAATATCGAAAACCCCAACAAATTTTCTTTTAAATTCATTGAAGTATGTACAACACATTCCTTTAAATGACTTAAGGCAATATCAACTATATATTTTATATTTTGGGACCATAATTCTTTTATGATTATGTATTAGCATTTAGCACTAACTACAAAGCTAATATGTGAAATTTATCTTATTCTTTTTAGTTATTTGATGTCAGCTTTACTTTTTATTATAAGCTTAATTTTAATGACAACGTTACATTAGAATTTCTCCAGTATCTTAGAGGCTTTTTTCATATTTACATGCATTAATTGGAAATGGATAAACATCCAGACCTGGAACAATAATTTGAAGGCCATAAATATGTAATTATGTATGTAATATCCATGTTTAGTTTCCTTGGCGAGTAAGCCTATCATATTCCTGTCCATGAACCTTGATAATATAAGTCGTGAACCCTACAACAATATGGGTGCATATTATGTCAAAAATAATTATTTAATCTTTTGTTGTCACTTATGAAAGACTAGAATTATACTACATAGATTTCATCCATATTCCATCCATGTTGATTCTTTCTCTTTTCACACAGATTCATTGTTGTCATTTTTGAAGACGTTATTGACTTATAATTACTATTTACTACGTACAACAGAAAAGACACTACCCAAGACCAATATTGCTACTAAACGTAGTTATTATATACTCTTTGATTGCTACAACCTGTAAACACTGTAATTTTTTTAGTATAGCAATAAATTTTCATATTGATTTTCCTTTTTCTTATAGATGTGCCAACTCGGAAAAATTACAACTCGAGTTAACTCGAGTTGAAATTCTCGCAACTCGAGTTTAAACTCGAGTTACGCAACTCGAGTTAGCAGTACGAAACAGACTAAAGAAATTGTCACAAATTACTTTTTTATAAATTTGTTTTTCTATCTCGCTCTGGTGGGTTGGTATAACTATAATTACCAAACTTATTATGTTGGAAATAAAAAGGTATATTTAGTAGTATGTATCACATAACACATTTTTTAATCTTAGTAATAGTAAGTACATGTATTTAACGACAAAACTAGCTATATAACAGTCTTCACGATACAATATTAGTCTAGCTTTAAGATGTAGGTACATAAGCTATTAATAGTTTAATTATCACACTCAAAATATCCTTAAATAAATTCAATTTCAAATTCATAATATTTATTGTAAGTTAAGTGTTACATTTGGCGTAAATTTAAAATATGATGATCTTACAACTTAACCACCCTTTTCGGGTATTACAATAATAGGTCTGCGAGTTACATAACTATATTGATCATAATTAATCAAAATTATAAAAAAAATTACATTACTTAGCTATTATATAATTCTAATTAACAAATTGTTTTTTTTTAGCTAAATACTCTTTAAAACACGAAGCCCGCACACAACGAACGAATCGCGCTTTTACTCTTTTGCTGGTTTACTTGACCCGTCCATGTACAGCAATTCAAACGCAAGTTAGGGAGAACCAACTCGAGTTAATAACTCGAGTTAACTCGAGTTAATAACTCGAGTTGACCCATCACTACTTTTTCTTTCATTTCATCTATTGATTGACGACGGGTGGAGGCGTTCGTTCGATCGCTTGGTGTTCACGTCATCATTTATACTCAAATGTCTTATTTTTGCATCACACATGCTCAGGGGTAACCGAATAAGAAAAAAATCGAAGAATCCCGCCTGTACCAGAAGATAAGTACGTGTGCTAATAGGCGTAAATGTAAACTAGAAAGTGTGTGAACGAAGTCGCGAGGTGTCTCGTCCGTCCGGTTTGATCTGGATTTTAGCAGTTTGAACCGCGAGTTGAGACTCCCTTTCCCTCTTAATTAATTTATTAATACAATTTAGTGGTGTGTTTTACAAACTTTAACGATTATTTATTAGTATTTTTAGTGATTGTGTGGTGCATTAGTTAATTTAAGCCGTTTCAAAATGTCTGAAGAGTCATCAGCGGATCGCAATGTCGAAATTTGGAAGATCAAGAAGCTGATCAAGAGCTTGGAGATGGCGAGAGGGTGAGTTTTTGAATGAAATGTTTAATTTCGATAGGAGTCGTGTGGTTTTGTAACATGTTCTTTGTATGATATGTTATTGATTATTTCGTTGGCGAAATTACCAACACGGCTGCGTCATTTGTACGTCTGGACTCTGGACACATGCGCGTGCTGCATGCGCGGATATTAGAGGTGTCCATTTTGAAAATATATCGATGTTTTTTTTCGATGTGATGCATCGAGAATGTGCATCGATGTATTTCGATGCATCGGTTAGAAACATCGATGTTTTTTAATATCGAGTACTTTTTATTACTTTATATTATAACAGTCTTATTCATAAAAATCCCTTAAAATGGCGTTATAACACTCTTTAGTTAAAGTGCTCATTAGTACTAATAAACCTATTATAAAATTCTGTATTCATAAACGTTCTATAAACCTCTTTTAATTAAATCGTACTTAAGAAATACTTTAGTTTTATTATGTTGTCATTCTGATGAATCCATAGACTAGCGACGGTAAAAAATAAGTTTGACAGCGATTGGGACATTCGCGTCAAATTAAGCGCGTTGTTTTCTTATATCGGTTCAAGAAGTTGATTTGAGTTATATTTTTTACTCAATAGTAATGGAAAACAGTACAAGTAAAAAGCGGCAAAGAAGCGAAATTTGGCTGGAGAAAGATAAGGTTAGTACGTAACTAAAGTAATTTTCTTCATAGGTGCTTAGTGCACAAGTGATAGTTCACTGTGTTGTTATAATAATATCCTTTTTCTTTCCATAGCATTTATTAATGTATTTGGTAAGAGAGCGTGTATTAGTGATTGAAAATAAAAATACTGATACAAATACGAACTCAAAAAAGCTAGCAGCATAGGCAGATTTATTATGCAGACCTATTTTTGTCTATCAATGTGTGAAGTGTTTGAAGACGAGTCTTCAACGCAATGATATTCTATATACGATCAGTTACATTACTATGCAACAGAAGCATGTCACTTTGTTTCTAGCTGGCATAATACATATAAGTTTAAAGTCACTTAACAGTCTTCGGGAAGAGCTATGACAGGAGCCTCCCTATCCAATAGCATTCATTATGATGAAACTTATTGAATAATAAAGTTGCTGACACAGGTTCAGACTTAAGTTGAAAACTTAAGTAACAGTGGGCAGTCCACATAGCTCATAGAACATAGGATTGGACGGGTTGATATATGAGAAAGTGCAACCAAGTTCTCAGGATTGCTTGCATTAAGATTAGCCCATTTTGAATATTAAAATGTTAAACATTTATGCACATTGTTATATATTTTTTCCAGTTTCAACAGTAAGTGCAAAGGTGGCACTAGTTAAAATTACTTATTAAAATGACAAAAAAGAACATTAAGTCTGTTGAATGTAAGAATCTTCTCCAGACTGGTGGTGGTCCACCTCCAACAACAAACCCCGAAAATGCAGATGACATCTGTTCATGGCTCCCTAACGAATTTGTCATTGACACAAATGAATTTCATTCTGATGAAATAAATCTGGTATTATGTATGTCAAGATTCTAAGTTAAAAGTTGCAAATTTTATCTCTACTTAGTGCAAACTTTCATTTGATAAACATTGTTGTTCCTTTTCTGCCTAAATACCTACTAAAGTTTACTTAATGATATTGTTATCAAAAAAAAAATCATACTTACATAATATAGTTCAATAGTAATTGAATTATTTATTGCATTATTTGTAGATCGCAAAATGAGATCAAAGTGGATGATAATTAAACTTGTCAACATTGAAAACAAGACTTCAGATATTGTAAGCATCAATAATGTATTGAGATAGCAAGTCATTTTTATATTTTTCATATCTAATTTTAATTTTATCTTATTTTACTGTTGTAGGACACAATGAGTACAGTAAAGGATGTCACAGTAGAAATACTTCAGGACGTTAAAAATACACAAGAGGTAAATTTGTGAAAAGTTGTAAATTAAGTGAACATGTGCCAAACTGGAAATCGAACCCGTATCTTGATTTGTAATTCTGATATTGTTGAAGCCATGGAAGCAGTTATCTCCCAGTATGTGGATTGTAAAGTTTAGGGATAAAAGTATTACTTGAATAAAATGAAATGGTCTATTTAAACTTGAATTTTATTTGATGAAACATTTAAGATTAAGTTAATATAAACAAGTTTCTTTTAACGGTTTTCATTGCTGCAGGTTGTAGCTACTGGCTCACCACCAAAACCACTGTTTACACCTTCTAAGAAACCTGGAAGAAAATATAAAAGTGAGAAAAAGGTAAATACAATGATCTCTATTCTAATAGGGATTATGTTAATTTATGAAATTGTTGCTTTGGTTTTTTTTTAAATACTCATCATAACTATTTTTATTTCAGACCAGCAAGTATAGCCAATACTGAAATTGAGTGTAGGAAAGAGGTCCATCAAGCCCAAATGACAAATGAAGGAAGGAAAGCACGAAACTTGGACCTAGAGGAGACATTAATAAAAATAAAAATTGAATATTATAATAAAAACTTAAAGTTCTTGCAAAATAAATAATTGTAAACTAAAATGTAGCACCTACTTACTGATAGCCTTAATTAGTTAAAATGCCTATTAATAAATGCTCATAGAAGAGCACTATTGGAGTCTCTTCCTCTGGGCTCACCAATTTGAGGTAGAAGTTCAACATCCACAATTGCATTGAGTTTGTCATCATGACCTGAAGAATTTTATTACAAATATTGTTATGTAAAAAAAATATTATATTCATGAATGATTAAAATTATTTGTGTGCAAATTACCTGGTACTGAATCTTGTCCTATTGCAATATTGTGCAACACTGCAAGAGTCACAATTGTAGGTTTCACATTTTTCATGTCTTACTGTGATGCCATAAAATAGACTGACACCACTGCTTCCACACACCAAAGCAACGTTCAACACAGTTCCGAGTGGCAATTTGTGCTCGATTATATCTTTCTTCACACTCATTTTGAGGTCTTAGTATAGGTGTAAAACTAGTTGATTTTATCACTTGTGTAACTGCGAATATCAGTTACAACCTTTTCCGTCTAGCTAACACTTTTTTACTATATGCAACTGCGAATTTTCAGTTACCACTTTTTTCGGCTGGCTAACACTTTTTTACTATATGCAACTGCGAATTTTCAGTTACCACTTTTTCGGCTAGCTAACACTTTTTTACTATATGCAACTGCGAATTTTCAGTTGCCACTTTATTCGGCTATGTGTAACTGCGATTTTCAGTTACGACCTTTTTCGGCTAGCTAAACTTTTTCTAATTCACTACTATTGTTCACTATGTTCTGCTACTAGTCACTTCAGCTACTACCGGATACTACTGCTTGTCACTGGTAGTTCTTCCTACTACAACGTTACTGGGATTCGCCCCCATAAGGTAGACTTTGGCTATACTCTATAGTGAGCCACTTGCCATTTTCCGTTTTGCCTCTTTATTTTTAAACATTTTCATTATGTAATTAGCATAAATTGCAATATTTTTTATACAACACTAATTTTGCACTAACACGCTATACATCATTAAATAGGCATTTTGGTCCTTTATTAGTATGTGATAAAGGTTATTCAATATATTTATATTTAAAAAAATTATTAAACGAAATGTACCAAATTTTCACAACAAATGGGTACATTAATTCTTTAATTTTTCTATAACTATCAAATGCGTTTAATTATACAAATTATTTCTTTACTATCATAATCTATATACCATATGCTAACTAAATATCATATTACAACTCTTTTAGAACACAAAAATATTCTCATTAATTTCAGTACAAACTATTGCGCAGTTAATTAAACTTCCAGAAAGTTCTACGATATGACGCGCTGTGATTGGTTGATTTTTTCTTAAATGCTTAAAGTTGTTTATATCAACTATTATTAAAACGACATTCTATACAACGCTATAAAACTATATTAACAAACTATTTACTCGATTTCGTTAGTAATTTCACCTTTTATACAAAACAATATTCTTTCATCACTTTTCTCTTAAAGTCTTTAGGCCGTCACGAACAGTAAGCTTGTGATGTTTTTGTAATTTTTACTTCTTTGTATCGACTATAGTAGTCGACCACTACTAACAGATACTCGTTACTTGGCAATGGTCTTATTAGATCCATTGTGACATATATCCGTGGAGCTGCAGGCAACTCTCGTCTCTTCATTGGTGCAGGTGGGTTTGGCAAACCCACTAACGTACAACCTTTACAGACCTTTACTAATTGTTACATACATACATAAACACTCACGCCTGTCACCCAGAGGGGTAGGCAGAGATTATGGACTTCCATTTGGCCATTTTCCGTTTTGCCTCTTTATTTTTAAACATTTTCATTATGTAATTAGCATAAATTGCAATATTTTTTATACAACACTAATTTTGCACTAACACGCTATACATCATTAAATAGGCATTTTGGTCCTTTATTAGTATGTGATAAAGGTTATTCAATATATTTATATTTAAAAAAGTTATTAAATGAAATGTACCAAATTTTCACAACAAATGGGGTACATTAATTCTTTAATTTTTCTATAACTATCATATGCGTTTAATTATAGAAATTATTTCTTTACTATCGTAATCTATATACCATATGCTAACTAAATATCATATTTACAACTCTTAGAACACGAAAATATTCTCATTATTTTCAGTACAAACTATTGCGCAGTTAATTAAACTTCCAGAAAGTTCTACGATATGACGCGCTGTGATTGGTTGATTTTTTCTTAAATGCTTATAGTTGTTTATATCAACTATTATTAAAACGACATTCTATACAACGCTGTAAAACTATATTAACAAACTATTTACTCGATTTTGTTAGTAATTTCACCTTTTATACAAATCTATATTCTTTCATCACTTTTATCTTTATGGAGATCGGCTATCTCTCGTTTGAAGGAGTCCTCTTGGATGACACGTGTTAGGAGCTTTTCGGCCTCTCTGATGAATTCGGCTTCGGGTGTGATGTATTTATTTGCATCTTTATTTTTTTACTTGACTGGGAGGCTGCGCGGATTATTTTTCGATTTCCTCCAGTCGGGATCTTCCTTTTTACTCTTTTTGGTCCTTTTGTAAAAGGTCCTGTTTGTTGTTTTACTGCAGAGTGTAATAAACTGACCCATTTTCGCCTTCTTAAGAGTAAATTTCACTATTTCTCCTCATCTCATGATAGGGTTCTACGTTCGTCTTCTAACAACAAAATATGTATTCCAGTTCACTTCACCGAGTTCTATGGTAACTCCTTTACAGTTCAGACTGCACGCCTTTGGAACTCCTTGCCTGACGACATCAGAAAAGCTCCCAATAAGTTTGCTTTTAAAAAGTTGGTGCGTAATCATCTGTTAAAGACAACGCTTCTTAGATGAATCATCCATATCATTTATATTTTAGACGTATATATTTATAGTTAAATATATGTATTATTTGTATATGTATGTTGGTATGAATATATGTATGCTTATGTATGTACGTATATATTTGTATACATGTATGAATAGGATATATTTTTATAGTTTATTTATTGTATATAATAGTAAAATGTATATATAACGTAATTAATTATACATTTCTATTTTCTTTTTATTCTATATTGCTACACCTACTTCAAATTCTCACCACTCCATGGGTTGACTGGTAGAGAATGCCACAAGGCATTAAGTCCGCCCTTTGTATTCTTTTAGATTAAGGAATGCAATAAAGAATAAATAAATGAATAAATAAATAAACTGAAGCACTCTGGCCGTCGCTCGCAATAAGCGTTCCCATTTCGAAAACTTTACTGGCTTCTTTGAATAGCGGCACTTTATGCGATTCTGTAATAATAATAATAATAATAATAATAATAATAATCATCTTTATTCAGGCAAATTACACCCATATCCAGTAAAATCAATAAATTTAAAATCAGTCTCCTAAATTTTAGCAATAATTAAATCAATTTCAATACAAAATAACAATTTTAAAATAATAAATCCAGTCAATGTAAATAGGCAGTAATGTCAGTATATAAATAAAATAATGAAATAAAATAACATAAAATTAAAATTAATAAATAAATAACAGAATTACACACATTTATCAGTCTGGAGACGAGATCAATAATTATAATTTAAAATTAAAAATTTTGTACAGCCGACTTCAATATAAGTTATTTAAGAATAACTTAAAAACTATTGGTCTGACCTTGATCAAATTCATATGGGACCACACGAGAAGTACCAGCTTTCAAATAAAAAAAGAATCATCGAAATCGGTTCACCCAGAAAAAAGTTCAGAGGTAACACACATAAAAAAAAAAAACATACAGTCGAATTGAGTACCGGCTCCTTTTTGGAAGTCGGCAGAAAACTTTCTCTGAGGCAACTGTGCTGCAATAAATTAAATTAAAATTAATCTACACAATTAAAGCAATACAATACATAAATCAATGTCAACAAGATAACAATTTTAAAATAATACATCCAGTCAATTTCAATAAGCATTAGTGTCAGTATATAGAATAATTTAAGCAAATAAAATAAAATTAATACATAATTAACAAACAAAAAAAAAAATAAGAACACACTTTTATTAGACAGGAGACGAGATTAATCAATACTTTCTCAGAGGCAGCTGGTCTGCGACATGCCTTTCGCAACAATGCCGGATAATATAACAGTCTAACCTTCCTGAGATCATCGCTAAGACAGTGTTGGAGCTGGCCCGCACTCTGCGCACCAGGGACGCGGCCCGCTTGCGCATGGTGGCATTGAAGCAGTCGGTGCGCGCATCCGCAAACATACCAGAGGCGCTACAAAACCGAGGCAACCCCATCACCGCCCTAAACGCATTATTGTATTGGACGCGGAGGACGCTGTAACTCTTCCTACTGTAATTAGCCCATAAGCTGCACGAGTAGAGCGATGTGCAGAACGCTCGGAAGAGTGTAACCTTGACCTCCTTTGAACACCGCGCAAACCTACGGGCGATCATGTTAGCTCTGACCGACAGCGCCCTCCGTTCCCGGTCCATATCAGCGTGATCCCTTAGGTCGAAGGTGAGTAAATGCCCCAGATACTGAAACTGTTTAACCCTTTCCAAGGGTACACCATTCAATTTTATTTGAGGTATATTATCAGGACATTTCGCACCAGCGGCCTCAAAGATCATGTATTGACTCTTTCTGACATTATACAATAATCCGTGACCACATGCATATTCCTCGCATTTCCGTATCAGCTTCCTCAGGCCGCAGACCGATGCACTCAGCAGCACCATGTCGTCTGCGTAACTCAGATTATTGACACAAACACCGTCAATGTGGCAGCCGACATGCTGACTGCTAAGCGCTACGATCAGCCCGTTGATATATAGATTGAATAGGGTTGGTGATGTTAAGCCACCTTGCCTGACTCCACACTCAAGCCGATACGGATCCGACATTACCCCCGCCCACCTGACACTATTGGCCTGGTTTGCGTACCAGTACCGGAACATGCTGATAAGTTCTTGAGGCAAGCCTATGCTTTGCAGCCTGTCCCACAGCAGGTTATATGTCACCAGGTCAAAGGCCTTGGATAGGTCGAGGAAGCACGCGTACACAGGCGTCCTGCGATCAGTGTAGTATTTGACGGTTTGCTTTAGACACAATATGGCGCTTTCAGTGGACAAGCGAGGACGTAATCCAAACTGGTTATCGTGGAGCGTTACATGTTTATTCAACTGTGTGTTGAGCAAACCGTCAAACACCTTTGCAATTACGGTGGCAAGAGAAATGGGCCGATAGTTACACTTGTCAGTCAAGTCACCCGTCTTGTTCTTCACTATGGGTACCACCACGTTTTTCATGAAATCTGCGGGCAGGTAGGAATGGCTCACACACAGAGAGTAGAACAAAGCCAAGACCCTAGCTAGGTGAGGTCCAGCATGTTGCAAGTGCTCAACACTAAGTCCGTCATGTCCCGGGGACTTGCCTCCTGACATATCTCCTATAGCTTTTGTTACGTTTTTTGCCAGGAAACTAGTCCCCACTGTTTGTGTGTCCAGGTCAGTGCTGAGCACTTCCACTACCGGATCCAACAGAGATTTTACAGAAAAATGGCTCTTGAAAAGATTTGCGATGTCCTTGGGATTGTTCATGCCATCGACGCACACAGGAAGGCCAGGTCGTACATTTATTTTACTGGTGGACTTCCAGAAGCCGCGGAAATCTCCTTTGCTATGTTTCACAGCAAGAGCGTCCATCTTTAATTGGTCTTGATGATTTTGGCACCATTTTAATCGGGACTTGAACACTCTTCTGCTATCACACATTTCTTTGTAAAGAAAACCTGACCTGGGTCTACCACACAATACCCAGTCATTGAATTTAGATCTGGCCTCTCTGTGAGCCTCACTGACGTGTCTGTTCCACCCAGCTATGCGCGGGCCACCCCCAGCCCACCTCGCGCCTCCCCGACTCGCCAAAGTCGCCGCGCCTTGGAGAGCGGCAACAATGTCAGAGTAAAGCTTATCCAGAACATGCCTGTGTCCACGGTCACTACAAAATGGTAATGGTGAAGGATCTTTCTTCACCGGTCGGTTCGGATGACGTGGGTTTTTCGGTCGGCCATGCTGACGGTTCTTTGTAAAGAAACGATGGGCCATTGTACCACTCGTGATTTGAGTCGAAGTTAGCTGGTACGCCCCTCGTAGCGGTGTCAGCTATGTTTAATTTTGTAGGTACCCAGCGCCAGTCATCCACTTTAGTATGGTCCTCTATTGCTGCTAATCTGTGTGCAACGAAAGGTTTATAACTTCTGGAACCCTTTACTGTCGTTTTGTCGTTGACAGGCATCGTGACATCTTTTTTCTTCCAGAGAAATTCTGTTTCTGTGTGTCCGTCTTTTAACTGACGGGTGCTCCTATTTAGTATATCTTTAGCTTTATTCTCTGGATCGGAGTCTGGTCTTCTCGGATTGATTATGAGAGATTCCAGCGCGAAGTATTCGCGGAGTTGATCATTTATGGTCTCCTCGCTCGTGTGCAGCTCGTTGGCCGCATGGACGCGCTGATACGGGGCTTTAGTGTGTGCCCCGTTTAGCACCCATCCTAGTTCTGTGAGCGAGGCGATTGGCTGGTGCGGCGGACCTCTGCGGACTTGAGTGGCTATCACTCAGAATAGTCAGAATAGTCAAATATCATGTTAATATTGTATGTATAAGTATATAAGTAGGTATTATTTAAATATATAGTAATATAACACACCTGTTACCTAGGTTTAGTTTCAGTGCATGTGTGTATACGTTATATAATATGTTAGCACTACCTTTTAACTCGTAATTGTTAATAGATAACTATGAACTCGTATATAACTCTTAGTTGGAAGATCACACACCGACTTGTCTGTGAAGTCACAAGGCTCCAACTGAAAACCAGCGCTGTATTTGCAGCATTATGCTGAGTTGGAGACCTATTTGATGTCTCATTTTCATATTGATTTTATTTTTTCGTTTTTACCTTTTTGTTTGTTTGTTTTATTATTGTGTATGTACTGCTTCTCAATTATAAATGCGTAAACAGTGTCAGACTGGTACATGCATTCTTTTCCCCCTTGCTTTTGTTTATAATATTTTTTTAATGTGTGTAAAATGTGTATATCAAATAAATACTTCTTTCTTTCTTCTTTCTATCAGAAGTCTCCAATTGTCCTGTCATGTCATATTAGTTGCTCCTTCAGGTCTTTTAAGTGTTTGCAATTTGCTATATCTGCTGCACACAAAGTCTGTCGCCCCAAGTTTAGGCTGGCGACCGACCCTTTTTCTGTGGAGATTCTTCAGCGAAACTTTGACTCTTCGGGAGTTCGGTGAATCGAGGGTAGTGTTCCTGATAGCGGTGATCTTAAATGGGTCCAACCGCCCTGTAGCTCCAATTTGTTTGGCAATCTCTTCATCGATTAATGAGACTGTTGACCCATCATCCAGCAGGGCGTGTGTGTTTACAGCTCCCGCCAGTCCAATTACTCGAACTGGTATTATTTTTAGATAGGCTTGATGCTTTGACACAGCGAATGAGTTAGCTACGGTTTCTTGAGGTTCTTTTTGTATGACCTCTGTCTTCTCCTTTTTGTTATAGTGGAGAAGTCGATTGTGTGTCGCGGTGCATCCTTTTATTCCACACTTAGTGGTTTTAGATTTGTGTGTCTGATTTTTATAGCGTAGACACCGGAAACATAAATTACTTTGTTTTGCGAGTTCCCATTTTTGTCGGTATCCGCTTCTTTAAATTTGTTACAGTCGGATCCGTAATGACCTTCTTTTTCGCACACTCTGCATTTCGGAGACAGCTTAGTGGTAGCCGCGTGTGTTCTGTGTACTGTCCGATTGCTCTGCGCTCCGTTTATAATTTCAGGAGGCGCAAATGCACTGCAGAAGCGAGCTTGTTCGGTGATATACTCGCTGAAGGAACCGAGGTCTGGTCTAGAGTCGTATTTTTCGGTGTAAATTCTATACCACTGTGCACGTATAGAGTTTGGCAACTTGTCTGTGAGGTGTCGTAGCACAGCTCTGCGTTGACGAGGTAATGGTCTCGTTTGAGTGCCCGAAGAGTGACGACGCTTCCCCTCACTTTGCTCGAAAATGTGCAGATGTCTCTAGGCGCTTCTGTACAGCGTGGCAATCCTCGTAATTTCTCGGTTTCGGCTTGTGCAATTGAATCTGGACGCCCAAATTGTAGCTCCAGTTCTCGCATAATCTCATCTGGCTTAGCATGCCCGATGAGTTCTGAGCTGACTGTTTCCAAGGCTCTTCCTTGTAGACTTCTTCGTAGTTTTGCAGTATTTTCGATATCATTGAAGTAGCCTGGCACGGAACGAAAGCCATTCGGTTTGTGCTCCGCTAAAGCTCGGCAGTGTCATTATAGCTTTCGACGCTGCGAAAGTATGCGACGATAGTGATGCACTCTCTGATTTTGGTTTGTCAGCGAGTGCGGCTATAGCGGATGTGAGCTCCGATATAAATGGTCGGAGCTCTCTGTCTTCATTAATGACAGGTGCCTGGTTAGGCTTCTTTGGCATGGGATTCTTGGTACATCTTCCGGATAGGGATCCTGGTAGGTGAGCTCTGATAAAATTGGCAGGAGCTCCCTGTCTTCATCAATCTTGGAGTCCTGGTTTGTGAGTTTCTTCTGCGGCTCACTGAGGTCGACAACCTCCGAGGGTGGCTTTGTGACGATTTTATTAAGTGGGGCCTCCCCTCCGGTGGTGGCGCCTTGAGTTGGCTATTGCTTGGTTACGGAATTTTCGAGCCAAGATCGGACGTACTCACTTTTGGAGTGACCATCTTCATCATAGTCGTCCGATTCATCTTCTTCTTCAGCCATCTGTAAGGAGATCTGTGCGAGTTCCAATTTGATTCTCAACACTTCTTCACAAGCCTTCAAAATTTTTTTTATTGGGCCGAATAGTCTTCTTTGACTTTGTACTTCTATCGGTTTGGTCCCTCGGTGGCTTTTCGGCGCGGTAGTCTTCCCGGGCTGTTGGCGGTGATGCACAGCGAATGTCATCGTTGCCTTCTATTTGTTCCCTCTGCTTCGGTGCACGTCCTACACCTATAGGTTCCGGAGGATACTTTCACTGCCGTCGCTGTGTGTGCTGCTGGAAAACTGTGGACTGAGGTTCAAAATTAAAATGCACGATTTATAAATTAAAATAGCAGTTCGACTGAGTGATTAGTCGCGAAATTTTATAATTATTATTTATTGACCACGGTTGTTAAACACGGTTGTTCAACTACGGTTGTTCACTATCGGTTGGTCACTATATATTTCAACAGATTTAATTAAAATGCGCGGTAGTATTAAGATTTCTATTGGTATTAAAATATCTATTGGTAGTATCAAATATCTATTGGTAGTATCAAATATCTATTGGTAGTATCAAATATCTATTGGTAGTATCAAAATATCTATTGGTAGTATCAAATATCCATTGGTAGTATCAAATATCTATTGGTAGTATCAAATATCTATTGGTGGTATCAAATATCTATTGGTAGTAGCTGGTTTTCTAACACTACTGACTAGCAGATATTAATCAACTAAAACTAGTTGATTTTATCACTGTGTAACTGCGAATATCAGTTACCACTTTTTTCGGCTAGCTAACACTTTTTTACTATATGTATCTGCGAATTTTCAGTTACCACTTTTATCGGCTGGCTAACACTTTTTTACTATATGCAACTGTGAATTTTCAGTTACCACTTTTTCCGGCTAGCTAACACTTTTTTACTATATGCAACTGCGAATTTTCAGTTACCACTTTTTTCGGCTATGTGTAACTGCGATTTTCAGTTACGACCTTTTTCGGCTAGCTAAACTTTTTCTAATTCACTACTATTGTCCACTATGTTCTGCTACTAGTCACTTCAGCTACTACCGGATACTACTGCTTGTCACTGGTAGTT